ACTGAGGGAGGGGTTGGGGTAATCACCCTGATTCTGTCCATTGCACACTAATACCTTTGTACACCTGTTCTCTTATTAACCTGCCTTTTGACAGTTAATTTTCCAGTAAGCCTTTTTCAGAGTGCAAAAGGGGATAGCTTCCATTGTCCCTACAAACCAACAAACACAAAAATATGTGCTTTTGACCTGTTGTCAGGGTTTCAACCTGCATTAGAGTTTTGGTAAACTCCATTTTTCTTTTTCTAGGATTCCTAGACCCTGTACTTGTGCTAACTTCAAGTTCCTCTGTGGATTTTAGCTCATCTCAGCTGTGCTGAAGAAACAAGGCCACGAAGTCTTGTCACCTCTGTTCTGGGTGTGACAGCATGGAGATCATCAGGTCAATGCAAGGAAGATGAGGACTTGGGCCAGGAAGCACAGAGAATGCTGGGCCGCTGTCCTTTTCTTCACTGGAGGGTGTTTAGAGAGCATTCTCTGGGTGACAAGGACTCCCTCTCTTGCCCCAACCCTAGTCAGGCTCCTCTGAGCTCCTTTTTCAGTAAGGCCTCCATTTTGGGTGTGTCCTAAGACCCCAGTTTTAGCAAGAATCCTGTTACCTCAGTTTAGCCAGAATCCCCCACCCTTGATGTCTGTCACCCTCAGCCTCACATCTGGCCAGGTTCCTTGTCCCTCACCATCCCCAAGGAATTTCACACTCCTGACAAGCCTTTATGTGGAATCCTTTAGGTTGGTTGAGTCAGAATGCCTTTACCCTGGGCACTTCCTCCTAGTGATCCTCTTATCCCCCCGCCCAACCCTGCTTCTTGGCTTTCCTTTTAGCTGCACACTCCTGTTTTAAAAACAGTCATGCCCAGAATTATGTGGCTACATGGTGCAAACAAACACAAATCTAGTTTGTAGTCGCATGGCTTGCTGTTCATAAAAGAGTCATCTCTACGTATTTGTGAGAATCACATTGCAGTGGTCCCTGTTTCAGCACCTGACTGAGATTATTCAACCAAGTAAACTCTTACCTGAACTTCAAATGTTCATAAAAGCTCTAGCCACTTCCTGCTGCAACACGATAATTTTTTTTTCACTGAAGAAAATCTGTGCAAACATGAGGCATGTGAAGAGAAACACTTATGGTAAATGTTTGTGGTAAGATTAATTTGCATCATTTTTTTCCCCAGGAAGAATTTTTTTGTTGACTGAGCTATGCAAGAGCAAAGGGCTGTTCACTTGCTCAGTGGGTCCCCTGAGTCCCCAGCCAGCCCTGAGTAGCTGTTTCTCATGGAGAGGAGAGGGTTGGCAGATTCCTGGTCACAGAATTTTATCTGGCTGTCAGTGGAGAAGACCAAGAAGCAGAGAAGGAAGAAAAATGTCTCTGCCAAGAAAAAGAATGGGTCACAGACCGAAATCTCGGGCTTGATTTTCCTTGTGTTGTTTGTTACAAGGTTGTTCTAGTGGGAAATGTAATATCTGAGTTCCACTTCCCAGTTCTTGGACTGCCTACATAACCTCTTCATTCTTAAGAGACTGGCACCTGATCACTTTGTCCTGTTTTGAAAATGCAGTGTTTATTTTCTGGATGGGATTTCGAAGACAAAGGGAAAACATTAAAGTTTACTTGTATGTCTATCTGGGCTATCAATTTGATTTTGAACATGCCCTGTTGGTAAAATGACAGATGTCTTTAACTGGCCTCCACAACTCACCACAGTTTTAAATACTACAGGTCAACAGTAAAGATAGATAGTACTTGTTTGTGAGTCGATTTTTCCTCTAGTCCAGTAATTTTCTTTAATATATTCTGAATTAGCTTAGGATTGCAATGTAGATATACAAGTTATGTAAACATATATATATAAACATATATATAAACATATACAAATATATATATATATCATATATATATGAGATATATATCAGGTGGCCCAGAAAGGTTAAGACTGTAAGTGGTTAAAATGCTGTTACTTTGCTTTTGTAGTTAGTGTTGAAGTTGAAAATATTTCCCACCTAAAAGGTGACAATTTGTCTCAAGGTTGGGGCCAGGTGAAGAGAAGCTTCCAGAGGCTAGCTTTTAGTGAAGGGCAGGGCAGGCCCATCTGCTGTCAGAAACAGACGTTTCTCCCTTGTCCCACCCTCATTTATTTAACTCATGCTCACCCGCGGTGGATAATCCAAAAGTGATTCAATAGCCCAATCCACCCGCGCCTCTGACAATATCGCTGATTCACAGCGACCAAGGGGCTTCGATGGCATGCTAGGACTGTCAATCACCAACCTGACTGAACGTGCTCTGAGTTGCACAGGTTTTAGTACCAGCTGGTTGAAAGGAGGCTCCTAAAATGGGGCTATTAATTTTCCAGTCATTCCATGTACTTGAAGTTCTCCTCAGCGCTCTGAAGTTCTCCAAGGAAAACACCAGGAAGCAAGTATGCCAACAGCACTGCCGCTCGGGAATATTGTGTGACAAGGACTTTCCTGGCCTCCCGAGCAGCAGGTTTTTCCCACTGCATTTCCCCAGTCATTTCAAGAGCTGAGGAGGGTAAACTTCATGAATCCTGACCCAGAGAAACAGCAGCTGCTCCTCTGAGGTACAGGCAAGGACAATGCTCCAATGTGAAGATCGCAGAAGTTTTTCTCTGACTCCTCCTGCTGTCTCTGTCTCCCATTCCCAGGTGCCACCGAAACTAGACTCCCTCTTCCTCATGGTCATAGAAGGCAGAGCCCCTTTCCCAAAGCCAGCCATGAAACATAAAAATATTACTCTAACTTTGGGAGGCTGAGGCAGGTGGATCACCTGAGGTCAGAATTGAGATCACTTTGACCAACATGGTAAAACACCCTCTCTACTAAAAATACAAAATTAACCGGGCATGGTGGTGCATGCCTGTAATTCCAGCTACTCAGGAGGCTGAGGCAGGAGAATTGCTTAAACCCAGGAGGCGAAGGTTGCAGTGAGTCAAGATTGCACCATGGTGCTCCAGCCTGGGCAACAAGAGCGAGACTCCATCTCAAAAATAATATTACTCTAACTTTCCCTCTGCTTTTCTGTGTAAATGCTGTCTATTAAATAATTATGTGCCCACCTTCGTTGACTGTAGGTCGTAAGAGCCCCATTCCACAGAGGGCCCTGCCTCTACAGCAGGAAGGAGGAGCGCTGCTCAGGGAGGCTGCGGAGAATCTAGACAGTCAGGCCTTGCTGGGGGCCCCGCTCTGTCCGTTAGCATTGGGTCAGGCCCTTCTTATCCCATCGTATTTCTACACAGCTGTCCATACATTGTTGAACCTAAGAATAAACGTGTAATTTCAGTATCTTAGGTCTTCATTCTGAAGGTTTCTGTTTGTATATGTTAAATACATTTTTCCAAATAATCTGTCTTTTTTGAATTGAGTCTCCAGTGAAACTTCAAAAGGCCAAAGGGAGAGGATGAAAAGCGAATGACTATTTGAAAGGTAAAGAGGCTGAGACGGGTGGATCACCTGAGGTCAGGAGTTCGAGACCAGCCTGGCCAACATGGAGAAACCCATCTCTACTCAGGACTGAGGGTCATCAGGGTCAAGTCTCTTGTCTTTCCTTCCTCCCTTCCCTGTACCCCCAGCTGCACACAGCTGGACACAGGCCAGGGTTTGGTAAGAGCATCTGGTTAGGGAGGGTAGCTGGGAAACAGTATGTGAGTTTGTGTGAATATGTTACGAATTGAGTTGAGAAAAATCTTTCCCTGAGCAAGTATATTTACTCGTGTGTGTGTGTGTGTGTGTGTGTGTATGTATATGTATGTGTGTGTGTATGTATATGTGTGTGTGTGTGTATATATATACACACATGTGTATGTATGTATATATACACACACAGACACACACACACAATTCACTCCTGGCCTGCCCTTGCTGCAGGGACTGCCCTTCAGGATCCCTCTGCCTGATGCCCTCTTCCCTCAGCTGTCAGCAAAGCTCACTTCCTCTGCTCCTTCAGGTCTTTTCTCAAATGTCTCTGTCTCACTGAGGATTCCCTGCTTCTGCTGTTTGTAATTTCATTTGTGCCTGCACTCCTTCCATACTCTACCCCTTTCCCGGCTTTTTTTCCCCTTCACAGTGCTTCTTGTCATGCAACATGGTCCTCATTCTACATATTCATTAGTGTATTGTTTGTTTCTGTCTCCTGGAATGTAAGTTATATGAGGGCTTAGATTTTTATCTGTTTGGTTTTAGTGCCTTCAATAATATTTTGCACATTATAGCTGCTCAACACGTATTTATTGTTGAATGAAATATGCTTTCATATAATTCTGTAGCATGTTCCTCAGAGGCCATTGTAACATCTTTTCTGACACTCCTTCCACCCCATCTTCCAGGATTGCACGTGTCCTTCTGTCTCCTTGAGTGCCATGCTGCATTATAATTGCCATTTGCACTCTCTCCCCTTGTGTTGGTTTTAAGCTGCTAAGGTTATAGTGATTTGTGTACAGCCAGACAGAGCTGAGCTAATGTCTCTGCTTGGGTCCTCAATGCCCTGCAATGAAGGCACAACACATAGGCAGGGTGTCCCTGAAGTCTCAGTGGGGAATGAGCTCCTTCCAAGGTCATGGGGTCCCTGGCAGAATCCAGCTGCTTCTGAGCTGTTGGAATGAAAGCCTCAGTTTCTCGCTGGCTGGTGGTCTGAGGCCCTGCTCAGTTCCTCTCCATGTGCACCCTTCAACAAGGTCTTTTTTTTTTTTTTTTTTTTTTTTGAACAGAGTCTCACTCTGTTGCCCAGGCTGGAGCGCAATGGCAGATCGTGAGGTCAGAAGTTCAAGACCAGACTGACCAACATGGTGAAACCCCGTCTCCACTAAAAATATGAAAATTAGCTGGGCATAGTGGCACACGCCTATCATCCCAGCTGCTCAGGAGGCTGAGGCAGGAGAATTGCTTGAACCTGGGAGGCGGAGGTTGCAGTGAGCTGAGATCATGTCACTGCACTCCAGCCTAAGCAATAGAGTAAGACTTTGTCTCTGAAAAAAAACAAAAAAAGTAGAAGAAGTGCATTCACAATGGTGCAGACATCAGCAGTTTCACTTACAGACTCACATTCCTGTTGGGTCAGAGATTGAGCCAAATGAGGACTATAGGGAAGCTCCTGTTTCATACCTATTCCTGCAATCTGGCCTGCCTTCCCGATTTAGGGAAGATGTGTTTCTCTGTTTGCCTGCATATTACAGAAAATAGCCTGTGAAAGAATCTGCAAGCATGACTTACAATTGTAACTTAGCATATCGGAAATTTCTGTTGAGGCCATCAATGGCTTGCATGTCCTCTGGAGTCAACTCAAAGTCAAAAACCTGAAAGGAAGAAAACACATTAACCTGTCCCCAGGACAGCAGCTTCTTCCTGGGAATACAAGGCTTTCAGAGGGCAGAGGCAAGGATGGCAATATGGAAAGTATTTCTGTCCTCATTGGACTCTAGGTGAGACCTCTTCCCCCCGAGACCTCTTCCCCCTGAGTTCTGCTACTTTTCCATCCCACCTTCCTCCTGCTCTGCTCCACTTCTAAAAGAAAGACAACTTATCAATCTTAGACATTTCTAGAGAATTGCTTGAGACAGAAAAAATAAATTCTTTATCCTAAACAAAGGCAAATCTAGAAAAAATACCTGCTTCCTTGACTTGACCACACTTGGTGAGGATTTTCCTTACTCACTTCCCCTGGAACTTGACCCAGTCTTTGATTGTGCAAGCTTTGGAGCACAGGACAACCTTGCTCCAAGAATCTGTTGGCCTTAGAAAAGCATTTCCTTATCAATTGTTCCACCATACCACTTGCTCATTGCAGGCCCCCAAATACTATTTCCAGCTACTACTAAATAGTACCAAATACTACTCCTTACAAAAAAAAAAAAAAAAAACTTCTTTGAATATATTTATCTTATTTAGGCCAAGAGTTGTTTTTATTTGAAAACATATAGACACATAACCCCTGATGAAGGATCCCTTAATAGCAAAGAAAAGAGATATTTGGTTTAAAAAAATTAAGTTCATTATTTCATGCAGAAGACAGAAAACTCAGAGCCCTATCTATCCATCCATCTATGACCTACATATCTAATTCTCTCTCTCTCTCTCTCTCTCTCTCTCTCTCTACTTATATTTGCCCATTATCTACCTATCCACCCATACATTTACCCATCAGTGATTCATCTTAAAATATACCCCAAAAGTGACATGGTTGTCACAGGGATATGTATTAACATGTTAAGTTAAATTGAAAAATAAAATACAGTAAGATTTTTTTTTCTATATTGTAGCAAGATTTAGATTTGCCTATTTGATTTTAGTATAACTTTAAAAATTTAGAGCTACAAAGTTGTGAAGCAAATACATTAGAAAATATGCTTCAAATATCATCCTTTGTAATAACTAAACTCATGTTGATTTTTCCAGCTGCCATCTTTACATGGACAACAGCATACATAGTCTTTAAAAGTTCTTTTAGAATTCAAAACAAAGTAAATTAAAGACCACTGATTGATCTAATGGATTGGAGTGTATATGAGGAAGTCTTCAGGCAAAATCTTTACTCCTTGATTTACTATTAATAATTTGGTCAATCTATGAAATTATACCTAGCTTCTCACCTGCCTGGGGCACTGCCAGGGGAAAGGTGATAAAAGATGACCCAGAAGGAGTCACTGCATTTAGGGTCTCACAGTCCAGTGAGCACACTGACATCTTAGAGAAAAACAATATTAAGTTAAAAGGGAAAAGACTCACTAACAGAACCACACCAGGCCCTATTGTGGTGAAAAATGTGCTACGTTGTTCCAATGGTTATGTATGTATGATATGTAACAAAGCAGGTAATCCTGTTTGAGTTTGATCATAAAATACAAATGGAGATTTGTCAGATAGAGATGGTGAAGGAGAGAAATGAGGGTTCTTAAAGTTATTTACCATGTAGAACTCCTGAAACTCATGAAAATGGTGGAGTTGAAATTTGCTTAGTGTCACACAACTAGTGAGTGGCAAAGTCAGTCCTAGAGGTGATAAACTTTAGAACTGTGAATCCAGTGACCTCTCTTCACACTCTTCCATCCTGCCCCCCTCCCTTCGCACACAGAGGAGAGAAGCACGGGCATGAATGACATGTGGCACATTCCCCCGTGGAAGAGAGATGGCCCAGACCAGTGACCGTGGCTCACTTTGGAGCAAAACCACTTGACCTGTACCTGGAAGTTCTCTTTGATTCTCTTCTCAGAGAAGCTCTTGGCCAGGACCACCACCCCCCGCTGCAGCTGGTAGCACAGGGCAACCTGGCCTGGGCTTCTATTGTGTTTCTTGGCAATGGATTTCAAGGTTGGCTCCTCCAAGAGATATGGGCTATCTGGGTCCATCCTAGAGAAAAACAACAGATATGAAGAGCGTAGATGAAAACTCTAGAGTGTGCTACCCCTTTTGCCCAAAGCCCCAGACAACGAGAGGAGAAGATACAATATAGTATGTTTCGAAGTGTCTCATAAATATTCATAGAGATTCATTTGCAATTGTGGCAAACTGGAAACAACTAAACTACCCATCAATAGGTGAATGGATAAACAACTTGGGGTGTGCATGTCCATACAATGGAATATTTTACAGCAGTAAAATGGAAAGAACAGACACATGCAACTACAGGAATGAATCTCACAGACAGGTTGAGCAAAAGAAGCTACACAAAAGAATATATATGACTTCTTTACATAAAGTACTACAGCAGACAAAAGTAATCTAAGACTGAAAACATTACGAACATAGTTGCCTAGAGGTGGGGAGGAATTGTCTCAGAAGGAACACAAATTAACATTTTGGGGAGAAAGTTTCTGTATCATGACAATAATGTGGATTACAAAGTACATTCATTTATCAAAATTGTACAGCTAACATATATGCATTACAGTCTATGTAAATTTCACCTTCAAATCACTTTGAAATTGTATTTGGAGTGGGGCTGGGAGAAGGCAGATATACAAATGAAACAGGAGGGAAGGAATGTTGGTGACATTGAAGCTCAGTGGTGTTACATGGGAATTCACTACACTGTTGTGTTCACTGTTCTATGTTTGACTTTATCTATAATGAAATGCTAAAAGTTTCTTAATCGATAGAGTTGCTGATATAAATTAACTCTTTGATACTCTTCTTACCAGTTTGGGTCTCTGTGAGATGCCAGGGTACTGTAGGCGACTAGAACGATGTCCCTGGACTTGCAGAACTCCAGGAGTTTGCTCTGGTTGAGGTAAGGGTGACATTCCACCTGTAATTTTTCAAGACCAAAAGGTGTCAGAATACATGAGCCAATAACCACATGTAAATTTTAAAATGCTTTGAAGGAATATCTAGTACTATATTACTATATGTACTATGTATTTCAGATTGGTCATTTTCCCCATGCACCTTCTGAAATGCCTTCAAATTCCATCAGCGGTCATACTAAGACGATAACTTACATATTCTTTTTTAATTAGTGTTTTTAAATGATTAAAATCTCTTGTGCCCAAATTATAGTCTCTACATGACATTTCTACTCAGAGAAACCAAGATTTCTTACAAAAATGGCTAATTCCATTTCTGACTGGGGAAGCTACAAGTTCAGCCTAGAACAGCTTACATTCTAAATGGCAAAGAACATAAAAAAAATGAGGCAAGTCAAAGGACCAAGAAGCTCATTTGAAAAGTCTCCTGCTAGTCAAAATGATGGCAAGTTGAGCATCAAAAAGAATAGTAACTACAATGGTTGGGAAAACGACATATTTGTTAAAATTCACGAGTTCAAATGACGTTAACCAAATGTGATCAAATCTTTAGCTCTAACTTTCAATTTATAGAAAGTACAAAAGGAACATGTTAAATTGTATCACATCACTGGATCAAACAGTATATCCTATACTGAGGAAAACTTTACAGGAATAAAGCCTTAAGTTTTCATTAGTAAATTGAAGGAAAGAAAGAGGCAGAGTGAGAATGAGAGCCACAGAAGAAGAGGAGGAAGAGAAGGTAGAAGAGCAGGAGGAGAAGAAGGAGGAAGAGAAGAAACAGAAGAAGACAGAGGAGGGAGAAGAGGAAGAGGAGGAGGGAAGTAAAAAAAAAAAAAAAAAAAGAGCAAACTTATTAATAGAGTGATTTGGCCGGCCTCAGTGGCTCAGACCTGTAATCCCAGCACATTAGGAGGCCAAAGCGGGCAGACTACGAGGTCAGGAGTTTGAGACCAGCCTGACCAACATGGTGAAAACCCATCTCTACTAAAAATACAAAAATTAGCCAGGCGTAGCGGTGCATGCCCGTAATCCCAGCTACTCAGGAGGCTGAGGCAGGAGAATTGCTTGAACCTGGGAGGTGGAGGTTGCAGTGAGCTGAGATCATGCCACTGCACTCCAGCCTGGATGACAGAGTGAGACTAGGTCTCAAAAAAAAAAAAAAAAGGAGTGATTTATGAGACATATCATCCAATTGCAATGTATGGGCCTTATTTCCACATCAATTTAAATGAATCAACTGTAAAAATATGATAAAATTATATTTCAGCACTCATGAGATTTAGTAATAAGAAATTATTGCTACCATTTCAAGTGGTATAAAAAGATTCTGGCAATGTTTAAAGATTTAGAGATTTTTAAAAATATTTTCAGATAAAATGATATAATGTCTGCTTCAAAATAATACAGAGGTAGAATTATCTATGTAACATATTTTGTTGTGAGATAATTATTGCTTATGTGTGAGGATGGGTACATAAAAATGATTATAACGTGAGGGGATATTCAAAAAATTGATTGAAAATGTGCATTATGTAGAAACTATACATGGATTTCAAAAAAAATGCACCAAAATGAACTCGTACTAACTTGTTATGACATGTCTAAACAAGATCTAGTTTGAGGCATTGAGAAAGATAAGACAACTCCCCTATCAGAGAAACATGAATTCTGCTAAATTGAAGAACAAAAATCAAATTTATTGTGAAGCATGGGTAGAAGAATGGTGAAATTATGGACTCTTTACACAAAATTTATGGGCAAAATCCCCTAAAGAAATCAGAAGTTCACAAATGAATAATTGATTTTAAGAAGGAACAAGATGATGTTGAAGATGAAGCCCACAATGGCATACCATTCATATCAATTTTCAGGAAAAAAAAATGTATCTTACTAGTGCCCTAATTAAAGAAGACCAATGATTAACAGCAGAAATGATAACCAACACCATAAATATCTCAACTGGTTCCGTTTACACTCTAGTGACTGAAATATTTAAGTTGGGTGAACTTTCCAATTCATGGGTGATGAAACTGTTGTGGCCAGATCAGCTACAGACAGGAGCAAAGCTTTCCAAGGAAATTTTAGAAAAGTGAGATCAAGATCCTGAAGCATCTTTAAAGAATTGTAAAATGAGGTGAAACATGGCTTTGCCAGTACAATCCTGAAGACAAAGCAAAATCAAAGCAATCGCTACCAAGACGTGGAAATGGTCCAGCCAAAGCAAAAGGAGATTGGTCAAGAAAAAAGGTCACAGCAAGTTTTTTGGGATGCTTAAGGCATTTTTCTTATTGACTCTCCGGAGTGCTAAAGAAGAATAACGACCGTTTTGAGAAAATTAGCCAGTTTTAGTATGAAAATACCCACAAAAAGCTTCACCAGGGCCAAGCACAGTGGCTCACGCCTGTAATCCCAGCACTTTGGGAGGCCAAGGTGGGCTGATCACAATTCAGGAGATCAAGACCATCGTGGCTAACACAGTGAAACCCCGTCTCTACTAAAAATACACAAAATTAGCAGAACGTGGTGGCGGGCGCCTGTAATCCCAGCTACTCGGGAGGCTGAGGCAGGAGAATGGCTTGAATCCAGGAGGTGGAGTTTGCAGTGAGCCGAGATCGCACCACTGCACTACAGCCTGGGTGACAGAGCGAGACTCCATCTCAAAAAAATCAATCAATAAATAAAAAAGCTTCACCAAAGATTATTTTTCACCATACCAATGCTCCTACTCATTTTTTTCATCAAGCAAGGGAAATTTTGCAAGAATTCTGACAGAAAAATCATTAGTCATCTACCTTACAGTCCTGATTTGGCTCCTTCTGAGTTCTTTTTGTGTCTGAATCTTTAAGAATCTTTAACAGAGACTCTTTTTTTTTTACAGTTAATAATGTAAAAAATAAAGAATACATTGACATGATCAAATTACTGGGACTCCCAGTTATTTAGAGATGAACTAAATGGCTACAATTTGCTATTAGTTCATATGCTTAGTTCATATACTCATAAGCATATAGTTATGCTTTAAAAACTATACTGAATTTGGTAAAGCTTGTGTTGAAAAATAGTTGATATCTTTATTAACATCTTTTAATTCCATTTTTCCATGAACTTTTTGAACTCATATTCTCTATATCTTTTTTAAAAATTTTACAAAAATAAAAACTTTTAAAAGTAATAAAAGAAATATTTTCATGTTAGATATAGGAAAAAATACCAGATCACCTAGAATTTTACCAGAACCATGTAGCAACCTCTAATCATTTTGTATGCTTAATTTTAGTCATTTTTGTTGTTCTTAAGATGTTAAATAATTTAAAATTAACATATATACTGAATAGTATAGATTAACATATTTTATAAGAATCCTAATTTTATTCATTTATTCTCCCTTCCTCCATATTCAGCTTCTGTGCCCCAGAAGAAGCCAGTTACACTTTTGTGTCATGAACTTACTTTCTCTTACATTAATTGGTTTATGAAAGGTACATTACGGTGTTCAAGCCAATGACACATGAGGAAAAAATTGGTAGAAAACTTCTGTGAAAATTATTCTTCTGTCTTTAGAAACAGCCCCAGAAAATATTCTCTGCTGTGCTGAACATGAATGAGGAGACCTATCCCCCAAATGCCATGAGGAACCATTCCGAAGCTATAAAACATGGAGCACAGACAAAATATGTTCATTTCAAGAAAGCATCTTACAGCTTCTACAACAACCAAGACCCAAACTTTCTATAAGTGAATCAACTTTAAGCCTGTTTGAATTGAGTTTTCTGTTTCTTTTGGCTTAAAAGCATCCTGAAAAACAGAATAGCATATAATTCTCTGATATGCTTTTGATATAGTATTACAAGCTTTCCCTCTTTGCTATTAGTCTTCACAATATCCTCTCAAAGGTCTCTATGAAGCCATCAGAACTTTATTTCCTCATTTGTGGAAATTCAAAATTCTAAACATTTGGTTTTAGAAATTATATATATATATATGTTAATATATATTATATTACTATATAATATAGATGGGAGTTTTTAACACATTTTGATTGTCTACAAATATCCCTAGAAATACAAAACTAAGACAAAGAGTATACATTTTTGAACTGCTTTTTGTATAATTATCAAAATGGTCTACACAAAGCTTTACTTAACAATGTCATAAATCATGTTTGATATTTGGCTGTATTGGATGTTTCTTTAAAATTCATGTTTTAATTATGATTTATATACTTCCTCTTTTTCACTCCTTTCCTCTGATCTGGCTTCAGTGCTCACCACTCTGAAGCAGGCCCTGCAAGGCTTCCCATAACCTCTATGCCACTAAATCCAGCCCCCTTTATCCTTCCCTCTTGGAGTGTTTGCTCACAGTAGGATCCACCTATGTCTGACTCAAGCCACTTCAATGCTCTTTCTTTGGCTCCTGATACCACAGTCTCCTGTTGTCTCCACCTGTCTGGCAGCTCCTGTTCAATCTCCTTGCCAGTGCCTCTCTGCCTCACCCTCTGCTGTGAACTTTCCTGCCTATTCCTTTTCATTCCATGAACTTTCCCTAGGAGAGCTAATCCTTGTCTGTGAGTTGTTACCATCTATAAAGCAATGATTCCAAACATCTGTATCTCCACCTAGACCACCCCCCGAGCTCCAGACCAAAGCGACCACCTCCCAACTCTGCCTCCACTTGGCTGTCTCATAGGAACTTCACACCCATCACCAAAGAACTGAAGTCAGGCTCTTCTATTCCACTCAAACTGCTTTTTCTCTAGTATTTTCTCTTTCTGTGAAAGGAACTGCCATCTACACAGGTGATATAAAGCCAGAAACTTGGAAGCATGATTAAGTGGCAAGTGTGTGAAGATCAGAAAGTCAGAGAAGGCCCCGGTAGGCTAAGGGCTCACCTGGTTGCAGGTGGGCTTATACTTGAGCCCTGGCTGGTTGAGAATGAGTTCCAGCAGCTTGCGATTGAAATTAGACACCCCAATGGACTTGGTTAGACCTGCGTCTTTGCACTTCTCCAGGGCCTGGGAAGGAAGGAAATGGATGGTAGACCTTTGCTGTAGTTTGTCTATTTCATTTGTCACTGACTTTTTATAAACTGAAAATCTGACTTATGATATATTATAATTATAATGAATCAAACAGTTTTATCACTTGAATAAATTAATTTTGAATGCGCTTTCTTGTTCCGTATACATATTGGTCTCCCTAATTCTATTACATGCACACTCGGGACACCAAATAAACATAAAACTGCTTTTCTATTTCCTCTTACTTGTCCCACTCACTTCTATGGTACCTATTTTGCTGTTAGGATGCAATAGTTAACAAACTACACCACAGTCAAGGGCAAAAGACACTCTCAGCCTTTCCTCTAGTAAAGGGTCTGTTGCTGCCTCTTTCTACAATGATAAAAATAAATGAATGGTATAGGTGTTGCAAGGGCAGGTTCACTGTCCTGCTCCTTCCACCCTCCTGCTGAGTCAGGCCACAGCTATTCCTCTTCTGTGATGCGTTTCTGTCCTCCGATAAAGTGCTGACTCCTTTTGTGCTTCTCTATACTGACTCTTCTTTAGGGCTCTTGTCCGCAACCTGATCTCAGGGGTAAAGCTGCTTCCATGTCTATGAGGAGCCATAGAAGTTAAAATTAAACACGGACCATAGGGGTCATCTCATTCCACTCCCTCACTTCACCGATGAGAACACAGAGGCGCAGAGAAGTTCCACGTCTGAGGTCAGAGAACTGCTGGAGCGAAAACCGCCTCTCTTTTGATCCCTCCTTCTGTGATTCCAACCTCACCACACAGTGCCGCCTGGTGTCTGCCGCAGAACATACCTCCCGTGTGTCACGAAGGTCCACAGTGTCAAAAATAATGTTTCCACTGGCATCCTTAGGCAGCAATTCCTCCCCAGACTGGAAAACAGAGAAAACAGAGGATAAAGAAGAAGGTTTTGTATGAGAATTCCCTTTCTGGTGCTTAAGGAGCTTAACCACACCACTTTCAGGAGGCTGTGATTATTAATCTGAGCATGCATGTGTGCATGTGTGTGGATGTGTGTGCTTGTGTGTCTGCATGTGCAGATGTGTATATGCATGCGTGCATGTGTGTGTGCCTGTGTGCATATGTGTGTATGCATGAGTGCATGTGTGTAGATAAGGATAGGTGTGGATGTGCATGTGCGTGTGTGGAGCGGGTCGGTAAAAGAAGACATGGGAAAAAAGAAAGATGAGAACAATCTGAGAGACGGTAGCAAAACACTTTTTCTCCACAGTTATCTGCAGGCTCCTTCCTCCGTACACCCCCACACTTCACTAAGAATGCTGTCCCTACAGTTGAAATTTATTTCATTTCCGAAGGACAGGCTGGTGTGGAGGACAGAGCTTACCATAACTATTGATCAGTATGTTTAGCCTCAGTTTATGCTCACCCAACTCAGATAATGAGGACATCAGATGTGCTTAGTCAATGTCCACTGTGGTGAGAGGTTGGATCAGTGAAGCCCAAAGGAGTCCAGTTGTGTCACATGTGCCACCCCGCGTACCTCTCTCTCCTGGGGGCCGAGGGGTACATATGGGAAAAACCCTCACCATAAAGAGGTGGAGATTTCACGTTGTATCTCTGTAGTCTGTAGTAACCTAATAGCTCAGAACCTACACTCAGGAACATAATCATTAAGAAATGCAGGGCAGTGCCCTCATCTTTCTAGCACAGAGGAAGTGAGATCATCGAACCTGCATCTCGCTTAAGGCTGGGGGATGAGCACAGACAGAAAATTTCAATGTCACTCGGCTGTGAAGGAGACTCGTGAATGATTTAGCAATTCCATGCAATTCACTCAAACCTACCTCTCTCAGAAAGAACCCAGGAGATCAAGCTGGAATGAGACAATGGAGGTGCTAATAACAGTGATAAAACTGTTTGAGGCATAAGAAGGGAAACAGAAAAAGCTGACCTTCATAGCCAATGGATTGTGGATAATGAAGAGATCAACATAGTCCAATTGAAGTTTCTTCAGTGACCTTTCCAAGGCTGGGCGAACTAATTCTGGCCTAAAGAAAGTTGTCCAAAGCTGCAGTGAACAAAAGAAAAAGTAGCGTATGATTTCACATATGTGGGGACCAAAATTAAACATAACAGTTAGAAATTGACACGTGAGTAACAAAACACTGTGGTCTAAAACTAAAAGAGCTGGGGCTACATTTGTGTTATTCAGGGTAAATTACATCCTTGATGAGATGCTGAGATTTACTTGAAAGACTGCAATGTAAGAAAACTGTGAATAAAACTTAGATGGAGCAGGAAAATCAACTTTAATGCATCAAGGGTTAATGGCATCATCCTCTGAGAGCAGTCAAGAAACGTCAGGACAGGGGGAATGGAATCTACTGTCCTGTATAATGAATTCCTCAAAACAATTCTGCTGAGAGATGCATCCTAACAACAGGTTGTCATCAGTGTAAGCATGCATAGGATATATCTCCAGAAACCAAAGCTTTGTTTACATTGGAAGAAAGGTTTTCCACGCTAGGAAAATGTTATAACATTCAGGAAACTCAATGCTGAGTTGAAAAAGAAAAAAGTATTTCCTAGTCTGGCTCCTTTTTCTGAACAATATCCCAACCTCACTTGATATATCCTGAGAACAATTACTGAAGAATTAATGGAGTGGCCCCAGGTGCCTTGGGTAATCATATCACAATTACTTAAGTATTATCAATATCATTTTATATAGGAATAATATCTACTGCTCAGAGACATTGAAGAACTGTGTCCCACCTTTCACACATTTCAGAGCAAAACTACAGCCTCTTCTATATTTTGATGATGTGCCTTCACAATATTAGGTAATAAATACATTGTTCCTATGTTTTGATAATGTGCCTTTACAATATTAGGGAAATACATTGTTAAAACTGAGACCACATTGTTTTTCTAAATAATACATCTGAACTGACGGTGGCCTCTGGCCACTGCACACACAGAACTTTCACCTTGGTAGTGTAGAAAATGTCCTCTCTCTTCACAGTGCCATCAGCAATCTTCTCTCGAATGACCTTTCCGAGCTCCTCCTCGTTTTGGTAGAAGAACGCTGCATCAATGTGACGGAAGCCTACATCAATAGCCACTTTGGTGGCTTCACCAGCCTTGCTCTTGGGGGTCTATAAAACAGGAGTAAGAGGAGTCAATGATCTGCCTGACTCCGAGAAAATCAATAGATTTCCATAGTGGCATTTTCTTTTTCTTATTTATTTATTTATTTATTTATTTATTTATTTTTTGATCTTTTACTTTGGGTTCAGGGCACACGTGCAGCTTTGTTATATGGATAAACTGTGTGTCACAGGGGTTTGGTATACAGATTATTTTCTCAGCTGGGTAATAAGCATAGTACCTGATAAATATTTTTTCTGATTCCCTCCTTCCACCCACCCTCCAACTTCAAATAGGCTACGGTGTCTGTCATTCCCCTCCCAGTATCCCTGGGTGTTGTTCAGCTCCTATATGTAAGTGAGAACGTGCGGTATTTGGTTTTCTGTTTTTGTGTTAGTTTGCTTAGGATAAGGGCCTCAAACATCATCCATGTTGCTGCAAAGGACGTGATCTAGTTCTTTTTTGTGGCTTCACAGTATTCCATGGTATTTATGTACCACATTTTCTTTATCTGGTCTACCAAGGATGGGCATTTAGGTTGAGCCCATGTCTTTGCTACCCAGTAGCATCTTCACTATCTGCTGGCCTCCTGCTCCCCTTTGGATCACGTGGGTTTCCATGATAGACCTGCACACTCTGAGGACAGCAACTAACCTCCTGTAAGTTTCTGCTCCCAAATAAATTAGTGGAATGGGCTTCACCCTGGAGCATGGAAAAATCACATCTCATTCCATAGGAATCAATTGTACAAGAACAACCAACAGGAAAACTTCTGATACTGGGAGAAATTTTCTAAGTCACTCAATAGGAAGGACAGGTCAATTGATACACACACACACACACACACACACACACACACACACAGACACTACGCACATATACAGCTAACCCTTGAACAACACAGGTTTAAACTGCACAGTCCCACTTATACATGATTTTTTTTCAATCAAAAGTACAAAGTGTGCCTGCTCCTCCTGCCTCCCTTCCTGCTCCTTCACCTCTTCTGCCTCTGCCACCCCAGAGATAGCAACCCCAACTCTTCCTCTTCCTCCTCCTCCTCAGCCTACACAGTGTGAAGATGACAAGGATGAAGACCTTTGTAACAATCTACTTCCACTTAATGAATAGCAAATATATCATCTCTTCCTTATGAGTTTCTTAATAAGAGTTTCTTTTCTCTAGCTTACTTTTCTCTAGCTTACTGTATTATAAGAATACAGTCTATCATACATATAACATGCAAAATATGTTTGTGTTATTAGTAAGGGTTCCAGTCAATAGCTGGCCTGGTTTTACCCAGGACGGAGATGTCACCTCACCAAGCTGGCATTGCAATGTTTGGACAATAATATGTACACGCTCTGCCTCAAATTTTAAACAGGGGATAGTTTAATGACTAAATCTGAGATTCTGCCCTAGCAAGCCTCCTAGAACAACAGGACAAAACACAGAGAACACACACGCAGGAAAAAAACTTCTCATTCCTGCAGTGACTTAAGTTAAAAACACCAATTAGAGTATTAAGGAAGCTTCTTTTTCACTTAGTGCATTTAAAATGTCTGAATATTAAGCACATGCATGTAGTACAATTTATTATGGTCAATGAGGGGGTTATGGGGAATTTTGTTCTATTCTCTACGGCACTTTTCTGTTTTTTCTAAGAGTAATAAACATTACATAAAACATATATAAGACACACATTATGCCTAACGGATGAAATGGATAATTATGCCATTGGAAACCTACTGACCCTTTCTGGCAGCTGTTATCTAGTGACATCTCATGACAGAGTTCTACCAAGATTGAGCCCATCCATTGGTCTCTCATTTGGGGGGTAATCCCTCCAAAGCAACCCCAAAGCTGCCCTTACTTTACTGTGACCAGAGTGTGACACTTCAAGTTCTCTGCCGTGAACTGAGTGGGTGGCTGTACGGTGTAGACTGAGTGGAGTGGCTGTACGGTGTGAACTGGTGGTGGCTGTACGGTGTGAACTGAGTGGATGACTGTCACGGTGTGAACTGAGTGGGTGGCTGTACGGTGTGAACTGGTGGGTGGCTGTCGTTGTGAACTGAGTGGGTGACTGTGCGGTGTGAACTGAGTGGGTGTATGCGGTGTGGAGCAGGTGGGTGGCTGTCACGGTGTGAACTGAGTGGGTGACTATGCGGTGTAGACTGAATGGGTGACTGTATGGTGTGAACTGAGTGGGTGGCTGTATGGTGTGAACTGAGTGGGTGACTGTATGGTGTGAACTGAGTGGGTGGCTGTATGGTGTGAACTGAGTGGATGACTGTATGGTGTGTTTGGTGAGAAACACAATTCAGTCCTTACTGTGATGTTGTGCCCCCTAAGTCTGGCTGTACGGTGTGAACTGAGTGGGTGACTGTACGGTGTGAACTGAATGGGTGACTGTATGGTGTGAACTGAGTGGGTGGCTGTATGGTGTGAACTGAGTGGGTGACTGTATGGTGTGAACTGAGTGGGTGGCTGTATGGTGTGAACTGAGTGGATGGCTGTATGGTGTGAACTGAGTGGATGACTGTATGGTGTGTTTGGTGAGAAACACAATTCAGTCCTTACTGTGATGTTGTACCCCCTAAGTCTTCCCATCGAATTACCTAATGTTTCAAATCACAGTGTCTTCCTATATGACAAAAGGCTTGGATGGTCGAAACTCCCTGGCAAATACTTCCAGCCCCAACAACCTCACAGCAAAGCTGCCAGCAAGCATCCATGCTGGCTTCCACTTCCCCCGGGCCCTTGGCCCTTCACATTTCTAAGCAAGAGTGGAGCCAAGAGTGTGGTCCTTCACATTTCTAAGCAAGAGTAGAGTTCAACCTCCGAACTCTCAGAGTCAACAGCTTATCATCCTCTTAGTGCAAAAAAATATAAGACCCCTCAGCCTCCAGGGGTCCACTTACATGATCAGGAGCATAAGTGCCAAATCCCAGCATCGGCATGAGGTGTCCATCATTCAGCCTCACAGAATGGCTTTGCTTCAGCTCCATCACCACCCACAGCCCAGCTAATCCGACTCTGCCTTTCCTTCCATATCCTCACTGAGAGCCCAGTAGGAGACAAGGCTGCCACACTCTTTATTTCCATCAAATACAAGATGGGCGGGGCGGAGATTACAGCTGCCTATAATTTCAAAATGAAGTTGAAATCAATCCATTGACTTTGTTCTGATTCTTCCATGTCTCTACAGGCCTGTCTTACAGGAAAATTGTACAGAAATATTTGCATGCTGGAGGAGTTTGAATTTTCTCTTCAGCGTTGTACACACTTGATTTCTAAGTTAAAAAATTAAACATGCTGAAACTATCAACAGAGTAAATAGACAACCTATGAAATGGGAGAAGATTTTTGCAAACTATGCATCTGACAAAGGTCTAATATCCAGCATCTATAAGGAACTTAAACAAATTTACATGAATGAAACAACCCCAATAAAAAGTGGGCAAAGGACATGAATGGACACTTCTCAAGAGGAGGCAAACATGCAGCCAACAAACATGAAAAATGCTCAACATCACAGATCATTAGAGAAATGCGAATCAAAACCACAATGAGACACCAACTCAAACCAGTCAGAATGGCTATTACTAAAAAGTCAAAAAAATGACAGATGCTGGCAAGGTTGTGGAGAGGAGTGAACGCTTATATACGGTTGGTGGGAGTATAGATTAGATCAGCCATTGTGAAAGACAGTGTGGTGATTCCTCAAAGACCTAAAGTCAGAAGTACCATTCAACCTAGCAATCCCATTAGTGGGCATATACCCAAAGGAATAAAAATTTTTATATTATAAAGATGCATGCGTGTGTATGTTCATTGCAGCACTATTCACAATAGCAAGGACATGAAATCAACCCAAATGCCCATTGATGATGGGCTGGATAAACAGGATGTGGTGCATGTACACCATGGAATACTATGCAGCCATAAAAAAGAATTAGAACATGCACTTTGCCGGAATATGGATGGAGATAGTGGCTGTTATCCTTAGCAAACTGACGCAGGAACAGAAAACCAAATACTGTGTGTTCTCACTTATAAGTGGGAGCTAAATGATGAGAACACATACAGGGGAACAACACACACTGGGGCCTATTAGAGGGTGGAGGGTGGGAGGAGGGAGAAGATCAGGAAAAATAACTAATGGGTACTGGGCTTAATACCTGGGTGATGAACTAATTAGTACAACAAACCCCCATGACACAGGTTTACATATGTAACAAACCTGGACATCCTGAACACGTACCCCTGAACTTAAAATAAAAGTTTTTTAAAAAGCATGCAAATATGTCTTTGATAATTGTACCAGATTTATTTTACAAGGTATAAAACTATCGTCAGGCTAGTGATTCTAAACACTAATTTTCCCAGAGGATCTAAGTTATCTTCCTCACCATTCCTTTCATCATAAATCCCATAACAATACTTCGCTGAAAATTTCTTGAACAAAGCCTGACACCTGGTCCCAAGCACACATGTAACAACATTTCTTAGGAAGACTTACTCCTACTTTCATTATCTTTGTCTTCTGTACCAAGGCCCATTTCATGTTTTGATTCTCATTGTCTTGTTTTCTTGAATCCTTTTGGTGCGAAAAACTTGTCTGAAATCATGGATAAATGTCTGTATTCTTGCCTTTCCTTCAGCCATTGCCTCTTTCTGGAACAGCTTTCTCTATCCCACCTAGTTTTCAGCAGTTTAATGACTTCTTACTTACCCAAATTCACCTCCTCCAACCACACATCCTTTATGACTCCTTCTATGACCTCCCTAGATGAAGTTGATGCCCTTCCCTGCATACCCTTTATTATTATAGCTTCTACCACCCAGACCAAAAAACCACATCATTCAAATTACATTCTCAACTAATAAGGAACTTCTGCTAGATAAAACACCTAACTCATGTTTTCTTTAATGCTTCTATTATGTTGTGCTTCTTGCAACCTGTATTTGTGCCATTGGTATTTTACAGCCAATTATGAAACATACAATTATAATTTATCTTACTTTCAACTCATCCTCTGGCTGGTCAAGGTCAGGACTTTGATTCCATGAGTCCATTTGGTTGCATTTATCTCAACATTGTGTTTGCTATAAATTTGATGAGAATATCCTTTTATAGTCCATTGCTAAAGCTTTTGCACTAAACAGAGATGTTCTGTGTCAAGTCACAAGAAAATTCTGTCTTCATTGATGTGAACTGTCTGGAGTCCACAATTCAACAGGCTAAAAAATTTGTCTAACATTCTTGTAATATTTATCTGTATTTTGCACTAAATGCTTGGCTAATGTAAAAAAAAAAAAAAAAAAAAAAAAAAAAAAAAAAAAAAAAAAACACTGTTTCTCCCCTACTTCTGATTCAGGAGTCTAGGAACTTAGTAGTGAAAGAAAATGGGACAGTTTCATTCTTAGCGAAGCCATAGCAGGACTTCATGCTCCCTGGCCCTATTCTTATTACACTTGCATTAAACATTATCCTAAAACATTTCTAGATTTGATGTTATGCCTTATGGCATATCGTTTTCAGAATCCATCTTCCCTTTGTAATTGGAAAGATGATTGTCTCTGGCTTCCCAGCACCTTTTTTGTTTTCTAAGATTTCTAGAAGACTACTAACGAGACAGGATGGAGCTCCTTGTCTCACGAACCAAGGGAGCTCATTGTTCATGAGACAGGAAGTGGGCAGATGGCAAGATGTTCCACTAGATCCCTGCCTCCTGGTACTCATGCCCTTGGGTAAACCTCTCTTCTTCAGTATGGCTGGTACTTGTGTCTTTATTCTAACCAAAAGAATACTGTAACTCCAAAAAAAGTACTATTTCCATCATTAGGAAAGACAGGATTGCCACTTCAATCACACTAACCAACTCAGCAGTCTTCTCAGCTCGCCGGCTTTGATAAAATGAGTGGCTTCGCTGGAGAGGCACACATGGAGAGGAACTGAGGCTGGCCTCAGCCCACAAGCCAGCTAAAAACTGAGGCCTTCAAGAACTCAGCAAGTTTTTCTCCCCTCAGAGCAAGTCTCAGCTATTAGCACCATCCTTTTAGCTGCACTGAAGGAAATCCTGGCAGGTTTTCTCTAGTGGGGACCACCAGATAGGATGATGAGGGGATAAAAATTTCTTCTTTCCTACACCAAGTGAGTTATTTATCAGAGCAATAAAGGATGTTTGAGCCCTTCCATATCAAGTATCATCTTGCTTTAAAACATTTTGCTGGACGTCAAGAAAAGTCATTAATTACAGCAAAACGACAAAGAGTTGGATAGAGTCCCAAAACTCTGATAGGAGATTTAACCATACAGAACAAGAGTTCAGCAAGCACGTGCAATTCACGAGGAAAGGGTAACCCAGGGTTATGAGAGAAATGAGAACATCACATGGCGATAAAACGCCAAACACCTTGCTGTGGTTTGAATGTGTCCATGTGTTGAAAGTATAATCCCCAATGCAGAGTGTAAAGAGATGTGCCCTCTAAGAGGTCACTAGGTCATAACGGCCCTGCTCTCATGAAGCACTGACCTCATTATTGTGAAAATGGGTCCATCATCATGAGAGTGGGTTACTGTAAAAGTCATTTCGGCCCCCTCTTGTTCTGTCATCCTCTTACCCCTGCTTTTGCGCTCCCTGCCTTCTGCCATGGGATGACACAGCACAGATGTCCTCACCAGATGTGGGTCCTGTGATCTGGGACTTTCAAGCCTCCAAGACTGAGCCAAATAACTTTCTATTTTTTATGAGTCACTCAGTCTCAGCTATTCTGTTACAGCAACAGGAAACAGACTAAGACACACCCATATACTCCTCTCTGAATAAAAGGGAGTCCATTGTCAAGCAACAAAGAGAAATGCAGCCCGACTCGCTGGAGAAACACACCTCACCCCTCCTTTACAACACCTCACACAAGCAGGGAGCCAAAAAGATCACCTTTCAGAGTTCTCAAAATACCCTCTGAAAAGTCTGGTTCAGACCACGCCTTCTGACTGGGAGTCTGGTTCGTTAAGGCTGCTGTGACAAAGTACTATGCACTGGGTGGGTTATAAACAAAAGACATAGATATCTCACGGATCTGAAAGCTAAAAGTCCAAGATCAACGTGCTGGCAGACTCAGGGACTGGCAGGGGCCTGCATCCTGCATCATGGACAGCTGTCCTCTCACTGTCTTCATATGACAAAATGGGCGTGTGATCCCTCTGGGGGCTATTTTATCAAAAGCACTGGTGTAGTTTGGACGTTTGTCCCTTCCAAATCCCATGTTAAGGTTTCACCCGCACGGTTGGAGGTGGAGTCTAATGGGAGGTTTGGGGTCATGAATACATGAATGCCTTCTCTGGGGAGGGGTCAGGTCTAACTCCATTACTTCCCAAGAGAACTGGTTGTTAAACAGAACCTGGCCCCTCCCCTCCCTCCTGCTTCCCTCTCACCAGGCGATCTCTGCACACACCAGCTCCCCTTCACCTTCCTCCATGCTTCGAAGCAGCCTGAGGCCCTCACCAGAAGCCCAAACCTGAAACTTCCACCCAGCAGAACTGAGCTGAATACACTTTTCTCTAGAAATTACCCAGCTTCAGGTTCTGTTTTATAGCAACAATAAATGGACTAAGAGGGGCTCTAATCCCATTCATGAGGGTTCCACCCTCACGACCCAATCACATCCACAGGACCCACCACCAAACAGCATTACCTTGGGGGTTAAGGCTTCATATATGGCTTTGATGGGGATGGAAAGATTCCATCCATTGCATGGGGCAAAGGGAGGCCATAGCAGCGGGGTCATTCTCATAATAGTCAGTGTCCTGGGGCTGCTCACTGCCCCTCACTCCCAGGCCTGCCTCCCCCTCTCCCCCGAGGCCAAGGCCTTCATGCTACTCTGGGCCACCTCTCCCAGGTCCTGCATCCCAAGGAAAGGTGCAGACTCAATTGAGATCTCCTGAGGCTCACTCTCTGCCCCTGTAACAAGATGGCCATGTCCTTGTCAAGTTCTTCTCTAG